CTGGAGAATCAACAACAAATTAAGCCAACCCACACACAAGAAGGGAAATAATCAAGATTAGAGCAGAGATCAATGAGATAGAAACTAGAGATACAGTAGAACACATCAACAAAACTAGAAACTAGTTTTTTAAAAGAATCAATAAGATCGATAAACCATTGGCCAAAATAATCCAAAAGAAAAGAGAGAAGACCCAAATTAATAAAATTATGAAAGAAAAAGGAGAGATCATGACTAACACCAAGGAAATAGAAACAATCATCAGAAATTATTATCAACAGTTATATGTCAATAAGTTAAGCAACCTAGATGAAATGGATGTATTCCTGGAAACCTATAAACTTCCAAAACTGAATCAGGAAGAAACTGACAACCTGAATAGAGCAATACTTAGTAATGAGACTGAAGAAGTGATCAAAAACCTCCCAGAAAACCAGACCCCAGGACCTGATGGGTTCCCTGGGGAATTCTACCAAACTTTCAAAGAAGAAATTATACCTATTCTCCTGACACTGTTTCAAAAAACTGAAGCAGAAGGAAAACTTCCAGACTCTTTTTATGAAGCCAGCATTACCTTGATCCCCAAACCAGGCAAAGATCCCACAAACAAGGAGAATTTCAGACCAATATCCCTGATGAATATGGATGCCAAGATTCTCAACAAGATCCTAGCTAATAGGATCCAACCGTACATTAAAAAGATTGTCCACCATGACCAGGTGGGATTTATCCATGGGTTGCAAGGGTGATTCAACATTCACAAATCAATCAATGTGATAGATCAAATCAGTAAGAGAAGAACCACACGGTCCTCTCAACTGATGCAGAAAAAGCATTTGACAAGATAAACTTTGGAAAATTATCTACTGATTCTTAATCACTGTCACCCTAACTCAGATTAGTCAATCAAACAAAACAGTCATTTACAAATAAAGGACAGCAAAAAACACATGAAATTTATGATCAGAATATCTTTGTTTGAATATAGGCTTTGCAATTTTTTGGCGTGCTTCTTGGACAGGACATACAGCCTCTTCAGTAACACGATAATAATAATAATACCTACTTTTTGGGATCACTGTAAAAATTGAAACTGAGTGTAAAAATTATAAATCAACCTATCTCATGGTAGGAAAACGTGCAGAAAGGTATTAGGACATGACTAATTTGAGAGGAATAAATAAAGGTGGGCTTGACCTGAGGCTGAAATGATACCAATGGAGGGTGGGAAGAAGTAGAAAGAAGGTTCTCAGGAAGCAAAGAGGAGAAATAGACATTAAAAGGCAGAAATGCATGGAAGGGATGATGAAGACAAATCATGACTTTCTACATATTTCTTGGTCTTTCTCACTTTTGACAAAACAAGTTAATAGAGAAAGAGAATCAGTTGTTATGACTAAAGGAACTGAGGGGCACTTGGGTAGCTCAGTCCAATAAGCATCAGACTCTGAATACCTTGTCAAAATAGTAAAGTTAATACAACAATTGTGGTAAAGGCATTCAATGAGAAAAGACTAGCAAATTTAATATTCAGTGCTGAAACAGCAATGCATTGATCTAGGAGGAATTAAAAAGGGAGCCCTCTCTTACATCATTTACAAAAATTAACATCAGTTGAATTAAAACACTAATTGTTTTCTGGTGATAGTGCAAGAAAATCTAGATAGTTCATGTGCAATGCTAGACACTTAGAGTATCTAGAAACTCAGAATTTATTAAATGAAATTTAAACCATCTGTATGCAAAAAAATATATACCAAGCAAGAAAGATATGATATATCTGGAAAAAATGAAGATGCAACTAGCAGGCCATGAGTTCATTTCAGTAATACACAAAAAGTTCTTGCAAATTGTCAGGAAAAAATACAAAACAGAGTCTAAAAATGGGCAAAGTTATGAATACACAATGTATCAAGTGCAAATCCAAATGACTAACACCCTTGGGAAAAAGGAAATTGACTAATCACTAGGGAAATAGAAATCAATATAATGATTCAACCAGAGAGAAAGTTTAAATGCTCCAGATTTCATGTTGATATGGACATGAGGTGAAAGGGTAGTCTTAGATTGCTGGTTGAAATGTAATGTGATTTAACCGTGTTCAGCCTTCTGTTCTAAAAAGCGTCAGTATTATTAATCTGTAAAATGAGAATATGACAATATCTACTAAGAAAAAAATACCTATTCCTTTCCTAGAAAGCTATTCTGTAGAACCAAATGTACCAATTTGTAAGAACTTACCTATAAAGATAACGTTTTTTAAAAAAGATTTTATTTTTATTTATTTATTTGACAGAGAGATAGCACAAGTATACAGAGATGCAGGCAGAGGAAAAGGGAGAAGCAGGCTCTCTGCTTAGTGGGGAGCCCAACGTGGGGTTTTATCCCAGGACCCTGGGACCATGACCTGAGCCCACGGCAGCTGCTTAATCAACTGAGCCACTCAGGTGCCCCTAAAGATAACTTTTACAGAGTTGTTCAAGGTAATGAAAAACAAAAATGAAAACAGGAACAAAGAAACCCAACTCTGTATATGTGTGTATGAGGATGTACATTGATACATATCTACATAGTTTTACATAGTCCATAAAAGGAGAAAAATATATATAAACACACACTGAGTTTTTAGTATTGACCTACCTAAGGGAGAAGGGGAGAGAGTGTTGTAATCAGGAAAAGGAAAGGGAGGAATGAATAAAAGATGTCTTTGCTAAAACAATGTGTGTCATTCTACTTACAAGGAAGAAAAATAATATGGTAAAATATACCCCTCTTTATAACAGTGGGAATTACGTTTTTTTTTTGTTTGTTTTGTTTTATTTTGTTTTTACCCATTTTGGGTCGTGGAAGGATAATAGATCAGTATTTAGAGATTTCCTATTTATGATGTGATAATGAACTAAAAATCAAATTAATGAAGCCACATCGTAAATTATTTAATAAAAGAAATAACAACTGTATACACAAGCAGTGAGCTAGAAGTGGTTTTTTTTTTTTTTTTCAAATCTCATTAAAAATAAGTCTAACTATATTGAATAAAATAAATGAAATAATGGTTTTGGAAATTAAGTTAGCCATTTATATCTTCTCATAATGGAGCCTTTACATTATTTGAAATAGGATGAAAACCAGGAAACTTTCTATTCAATAATTAGCCAATTGATAGTGAATGATCTCGAAATCTGTTCATTTAAATTAGGCTATAATAAGTCTTAAAGGAAAAGTGGAAATTTTAAGTAAAATTGTTTTTCAAGTTAAGCTGTCTTTTTCTTTTTCTTTTTTTTTTTTTTTATCTTGGTAGTTTGCTTCACTTCAGTTTTAACTGCTGGAAGCAGATCCTTTTCATGTCTATGTTTAAGGAAGTGCTGAAGGTCAGATCACTCAAAGCCAACCCCATCAGGCATCCTACCAAGATAATCTCTAAAGAGGTCAGAGGTGGGATTGACACAGAGAAGTGGCAGATTTTACCAATCCAGTTCAAGGGATTTCTTACTGTCCTCACAGGGGAGCTTTTTTCAATGGAAAGATCAAGGGTTCCAATGAGAAGGCAATGGAAATCCCTCCATTTTATGTAAATTTATTTTTTCATGAGGTAAAAGTAACAAAACATTTATATTCTTAATAGAGAGTATAGTGTTTTGCTGAAGGCAAGTTATTTATTTGGGGTTTACTAGTGCTCAACTGAATTGTGTCTCAATTCATAAGGTGAAGTCTTAACCCCCAGAGTGACTGACTATACTTGGAGACAGGGCCAGTGACAATGTGCTAAAGGTGAAATAAAACCATAATAGTGGGGTCCTAATTCAGCAGGGATGGTGTCCTTTTAAGAAGAGGAGAGATACCTATGCTTGTAAGCATTTGGAGAGAAGGTGGCCATGTGCAAACCAGCAAGCAAGCTCTCACTAGAAACTGAATGCTGCTGTTGCCTTGATCTTGAACTTACAGTCATCGGAACTGTGAGAAAATAAATTTCTCTTGTTTAAGCTGCCCAGTCTATGGTATTTTGTTATGGCAACCTGAGCAGACTAAAACAACTAACTAGTAAAACAATAAGCCTGTGTGTTTTCAGTTTTATCTGTGGTTGCCTTGATTCTTTTGATCTCTGACAAAGGTGATGAACATTCATTTTGAGTCAACAGTTTCATTATAATCATTTTTTTTTACTTAATAAGAGTACACTTACCATCAAAATCATAGTGTATGAAAGCTCCCATAATTTTATATTTCAATTTATTTTCACATATTTAGAGAGTATTTGGGAAATAAGGATTTGGCATTTTCTGTTTTTTATACTTAAAAATCATATTTACACAATTTTCCCAACGTAGAATTCGAGATGATGATGGATAAAGCTTACCTGATACAAAGTTCAGCTCCTTCTTTATGCTTAAAGATAGATATTTAAGAGTTAGTGTGTGGGCTTCAGTATTTCAGATTCAGAAGTATACGGAGTTTGTTGAATGTCAACTGCAAGATTTTTATTATACAAATGAAAGCACTGAATGACTAAAGGGAAGTTAAATAACTTACCCTCCATGATAAATTTTGTCAGGAGTGAGAAAGGGAAAAATATGCCGACATAGTGGCAGTGAATACTGAAACACAAATCACAACTTCAAAGTATATCCTGAATCATAAAATAAATAGAAGGTGCCAGAGAAATCATGTTTATCACCCATCATCTAAACTCATTCTTTTAATACCAATTTAACTTAGACCTGAGTGGTTTAGATAAGACTACACACAAATTGATCAACAGTGATTTTACATGGGCTCACAAATCCTAAAGATGGAGACTTCCCACAGTTCCAGCAACCCTTGCATTTACACAATCTGACCAATGCTTCCCAAGGTCATCCCTTGACTCCAGCACACAAAACTCCAGAAGTTCTCTTTCCCTGACTTCATTCTCTTTCTTTTGCAGTACCCTACAAATTCCCATGGTGTGTAGACTCTTTTGCTGCATCAAGTAATAACTTTTGGCCACAGGTGTGTACCTGGTGGTTTTTGGTCAATGGGAATTAAAGTTAGTCAAACCAATAGTAAGAAATCATAGAATTCTTTGGATCCCATTTCAGAAAGACTCCCACTTCCCCCCTTTCATTTTATCCTGGCAAAAGTCCACTCCAATTTTCAAACTGGATTTCTGGTTAAATGAAATCCTATCTTTCCACTTTGGCCTTTATTTATTTCCCATTTTGAAGATTACAATGGGAAAACATCTTAAAGAATATTAGTTTCTGAATTCAGCACCAATGGCAAAAATTGTATATAATCAAAATACTCTAGAAAAGCTATATTAAATTGACTAAAAATAAATATGTATTGTTTGGTATAGGCACACTTATTTAATACAGTAAATTCATATCTGATGTAACTATGTATCATAATATAATGAACAAAATTACACATTGCACACACTGATGATATTCATGTTAAGGTTTGATAGGGGAATTTAAATTATTATTGTTAACTCTGTTACTGTTAACCTGTTTTTCATAAGCTTCCAAAGATATATTCTTATTAATTAAACTTCACAAATGATATAACTACATTGTAACACTGACAATCCAGAGCTTACTGATATATTTCAATATATGTGTTTCATTTGTAATGATAACAGTTCTCAGACAATATACACTAATTTTATTTAAAGGTCATGCTAAGAGAGAAGGTGGAAGATCTATAAAAGCTACAATGCTGGATAAGTCCAGTCACTGCTAGTGAGTATCCAACTGAATTAGCTTTTAAGAACTCCAAATATGTATTTTCAAATTATCTTGAAATCACATAAGATTAGAAATGCTTAAAACAAAAGTACACAATAAAAATTAGGATTACTTAAAATAAACTGCATATTAATTCCATATGTGGGAACATCAGATTTTTCCCAAAATGTAAATATCAGAAGAGAACTTTAGTATATACTTTAGAGAAATTTAGTATATTATCTAATGAAAATATAAAGCGGTATAGTAGAATAACATCCGATGCTTGATTCTGAAAATAGTTTTTGAATTTGCCTATTTCAGATATTTGCAGCATTATCTTGGGCAAGTCACTTGAACTCTCGAGATGGTTTTTTATCAGATTAATAGATGCTCTGTCTGCCTATCAGGTTTATTGTGGAGTTCAACAGGAATGATGTAGACATGGAATGCTTTATAAGCTATATAAAGAACCTACATATATATTCAATGAAAATGAGAGGTTCTAAAATCACATAGCAAAATAAGTGATACATTTTTAAGAGTGAAAATATTCCATGATAAAATTGTCTTTTTCATGAAAATAATTTTTTTGGTCATTATGTTCACTATAATGTCAGATTAAATATTGCGTAGCAAAATGTAATGAAAACACATTTCTACCACATGGAAGCTTAATGACCCTAATATAATCACTTAGCTTCTCTGAGCCATAAGTTTTCTCATTTGCAAGTTAGAGATAAAGAAGAAAAGAGCAGAAAATTGCAATCAGCTGAGGTTACTGGTCATAGTGACTGAAATGGCAAAATAGTGCCTGATCCCTTCTACTCTGTCTTCAACTGGCTGGTTTATCAGTATTTCCCTATTCGGTTTCTGTGCCTTCCCTCTTCTCCCTATGAATCATCCCCCCACTCTCCACGTCAAGGCTAGAACACAAAACAAAACAAAACAAAACAAAAGTCAAGTTATTTCTCAGAACTCTACGCAAATTCTCATCTTTCAAATTCTCTCTTTCAATATAGTTCAGCCTTGGAAAACATATTCCCATGTAAGAGGTTCTGTTCTACCTAATAAAGAATCATCAGCAGCTTTTCCTTGCTATGTAAGCTAATTAAAGGTAGAAGAACAGAGGACATAAAGAGATGGCTTAACTATAAAAAATATAACCTTCCCTAAATTTTTAATACATGCCTTCTCGCCAATTGCTTTTGTTCATTACTGGTCAGATTACAAGATGCCACAACTATATATTTTCACAGCAACCTGTAAAAATTTTACATTTTTATTCAAATGAGATGTCCTTTCTACTAAATGTGATATTGACTTCTGGAAGTCAACCAAAAGTGATAAACTAAGGTTAGCAAGCATTATGTTGTTCCCTTACCTGAGAGCCAAATGACTCTTGCATTGCCATGTTTTACTCAGAAATCTGATGTGTTATTATCACACATGACAAAATAACTTTTATTACATCTCAACATTTAGTATGAAATTACAAACTAAAGAAAAATTCCTTTTAGTTTTTTTCTTAAATTATGGCTAGTATGAATTACTTTTGCATCTTCTTTAATAAATTGTAATAAAACAGACTAAAACCAGTTGTAATAACTTGTCTATTCTGACAGGAAAACATACCCAGTTAAAAGGAGTTAAGAAACATAAGCACTGAGCTGATGAAAATAAAACCATAGAATATTTAATTATGTGATGAGTTCAGATTATGTAGACAATATTGAAAATTATGAGAAAGAAATACCAAAATATTTTTCCCTTTCTGGTGGCAGAATTTTTAAGTTGTGAATTAATGAGATTGTGTTTTTAGCTTCCCACTTCATATTGCCTTATTTTAAATCTCCATAAATCATGTCTAATTTTTTAGCCAAAAATGAATGAAATGACAAAAGCTTTTAATAATTCATAAAGCAGTAAAAGAAACAACTAAAATTGTATTCAGCCAGCAAAGACAGAAACTCTGTGATTTTTTTTATTGATATCCACATTTTCATAGTAATTATAAAACAAAACATATCTCTACTTCACATGGATTATTTGGCATCAAGTATTTTATAGAGACTGATTCTGTACAGACATGTAGAGATACAGTTCAGATTTATACTCAGAAAAATCTAACAGTACTGAATGTTTTAACTAGAATGAGTGACTGAGTTTAAGTAATTTTGGTTTATTTATATTGATATTTTATAAATACAATGAAGATTTCTTTGGGATTCATTTACTCCTTGGTATCAAATGAAACTCTAAGGATATTTGTATGATCATTGCTTGTGAATTTAACAACAGGCTACATCATGTTTAGCCCCAGACCTAGAGGAAAGCAATTGAGAAGTTATACAAAGCTTTAGATGTCACTCTTCTAACCCAGGTTTTTGTGTCAATGCCTCCCTAATTCTAACTGAATTAAGTCCTAATTCTCAGTCTCTATTGACAATTTTCCACTTTGGGAACTATTACGGACTGAACTGTCTACCTTCAAAATCCCTATGTTGAAGCCCTAAGTCCATGTGACTGTATTTAGAAATAAAGCCTTGTGCTCACTTCGGCAGCACATATACTAGAAATAAAAACTTACAGGAGGTACTTGAGGTTAAATGGTATTATAAGGTTGGGGCCCTAATCCTATAGGGCAAGTACCCTTATAAGAAGAGATAGAACCACCAGAGCTTTCTCCCTCACCACATGTGCATGAGGACACAGCAAGGAGGTAGCCATCAACAAACCAGGAAGAGAGGTCTCACTAGAAACCAACCCTAATGGTTACCTTGATCTTGGATGTCTAGAGTCTTGAACTATTAAAAAATAAGTTCTTGTTTAAGTCACTCCATCTGTGGTATTTTGTTATGGCAGCCCAAACCAACTAATACAGGAATCTAGTCTGCCTTTTCAGTCTTACCTCCTCCTTCTCTTATTGTAACTGCATCCTGTCTTTCACTTAACAATCTTTTTCTTATTTATGTCCCACATTTACCTGCTAGAATTCTACCTAAATGCTGAAGCCTGTGTCAAATTCACCTTGAAAACAGATTTCTTTCATCTTTCCCATAGGTTCCCCTCCCCCAACAACATATAATCTCTACTGCTTGGAGTCCCATTAACATTTTGCATATCTCCAGTGTAGACACGATATATTGTCTCATATTTTATCTGTTTGGTCATCTGTCTCACCTCTTCTATTGGATTAATGAGACAATATATAAATTAGTTAACTCTTTTTGAGTGTCTACTCTGTGCCAATTTATGGTTACCACTTACTAGGTGTTCTTTTTTGTTGTTACTATTGTTAAATAAAAATTAGAAGAATGAAAAAAAAAACAACAACAATAATAGACAATAGAGAAAGGCAAATTTCAACTCAATATAAATTGTGTCTCACAATCACAGGTTTTAGAAAATAAGGAACAGTCAGTGTCTCACCAATACAGTAGTTTTTCAAACAAGATGTTGAAGACAGAAGTCTTTTATAAGGAAGGATGGGATGAGATTACCTCCATATTTCCTTTCATTTACTCTATTGGGCCTTGGACACAGATATATTAAGTAATTTTTAGTTCTATTTGAGTTGGCTGTATATCAGGCTAGGTAACTAGTATAATCCCTGTGCAGTTATCAACAAATAAAGCATATGTAACTAAACAAAGGTAAGCACCACAAATTTATATCTCACTATACTATACTGCTTCCTTTATGCTGGAATCCTTTATGTGGAACTCATATGAGCTCACTATTGAATTTGTGGGGCTAAGAATCAATTCTCTCATTTAGAAAGAAGAAGCTATGTAAAATTTTGCCCCAGATTCTTTACTTAAAATAGTTCCCAGTACAGAACATTTTCTTTCTATTTTTCTTCTCACTCCAGCTGCCTAAAAATCTTTTTTCTCCCTTGCTATCATTTTATGAATTATTCCATATCTGGCCTTAACATAGGATTTCATGAAACAATAGAGATATCTCTGTGTAGATATACCTATATTCTTTTTTTTTTTTAAGATTTTATTTATTTAGTTGACAGACGGAGATGACAAGTAGGCAAAGGGGCAGACAGATAGAAAGGGGGAAGCAGGCTCTCTGCTGAGCAGCCCAATGTGGGACGTGATCCCAGGACCCTGGGATCATGATCTGAGCTGAAGGCAGAGGCTTTAACCCACTGAGCCACCCAGGTGCCCTGTGATACACCTATATTCTAATGGAGATTTTGGAATGCAAAGTAAAACATAATTAGTCTGAAAAGTACTGACCTGGAGATATTTTTATGATATTTATTTTAAAAATTAAGTTGAAACCTAACATACATTTCAGGTAACCTACTTGACACATCACTTTAAGTTAATAACTAGTTATTCTTATCTTTTAAAGCATATGCAAAAAAAATTTACAACGTATTATAGAGCTGTTTTTTCCCAGGATGAGGTTTATATCTTTATTTTTTAAAAGATTTACTCATTTAAGAGAGAGAGATCATTGCGGGGTAGTGGGGAGAGAAGGTGACTCCTCACTGAGAGCAGAGCTTGATGCAGGCCTTGACCACACAACCCTGAGATCATGATCTAAGCTGAAATCAAGTCGCCTTGAGGTTTGCAGCTTTAATAGAAAATATATTTTGAGGGGCACCTGGGTGGCTCAGTCACTTAAGCTTCTGCATTTGGCTTGGGTCATCGATTCCAGGACCCTGGGATGGAGATCCTGAGATGAACCCCCGCATTGGGCTTCCTGCTTAGTGGAGAGTCTGCGTCTACCTCTCCCTCTGCCCTTCCTGATGCTTGTGTTCTCTCTTTCTCAAATAAATAAATAAAATCTTAAAAATATATATATTTTGACAATTCTCTATTTCAAAATATATGTCAAATCAAATCATGTTTTGTCCCAATTAACCTAGAGCCTGAGAATTCTTAGATTCTGATAGTAAAAATTTCATATTTATGCACTCCCTCCTTTGAAAGATTATATATCAGTGCTCTTTGCCATGTAACTTGTCTGCCTTGTATAAAAGTAGTATACTTCTATACCTAATTGATTTTAGGCTTGGCCATGTTAATTGATTTAGCCAATGAAATAGGAACAAAAGCAAAAATATATCAGTTCTGTGCAGAAGCTTTAATAGTCATTGCATATATTTGCCAGTTTCTTATTTCTGCCCTTACAATGAAAGAACAGAATATATTCAGAAAATTTCTCCTTTAGCCTGGGTTCCAGAATGAGAAAACATGAGGAGCAGACCATAGCCCTAAATTAGAAAACCTGAGTCTGACACAGCCTTAAGTTGAACTATAACTGACCTGAAGACTATTTTGTAAGGGAGACAGAAGTTTGCTACTGTAAACCACTGCAATTTGGGATTATTTGACTAAACAAAGAATTTAGATATTATGATGGCCTTATCAAATATCTACCAAAGACAATCTTTACTATCTAAGACCTGGCAAATAATTGACTGGGATTCAAAAGACATCAAAATCTAGTTTATATTGGTAAGTTTATCTGAAAATCCAACAAATTATTTTTTTAGTCCTGTAGCCTTTAAAATTTTCCCTGGAGACTTCCACTTCTTTGTAGATGGAGTAGACATACTTCTTTCTATTTTTCCCCACTGAGTACAAATGAAAGCCTGGGCATTCTATATAAAATAAAGGTAAGAAGACTCTGAAAGACGGAGAGAAGGAAATAGATTGTTCAGGGACCTCAGAAACTGATGATCAACAGTGTTTAGTAGTGTAGGTTTTCCTTTGCCTAATATACCCTAGACCTGAAGCTGAAGAAATGGGCAACAAGGAAGTATAATGCAGCACAGGCAAAAAATTCACAATTAAATCCTGTTTTCTCTATTCAAAGATGCAGTCTAGCAAGACAGAACTTTTAAATAATAGCTGCTTTACTCCAGGCAAACACCACAGAAAAACTGTGGCCCCACTCCAACCACACCAGCAAATGCTAAGCAGGGAACTTAGACTTCTATACCTGCAAGGCTGTCATGGCAACTAAACATGTCACTGGAATCCCAAATAGGGAAGTGGAAGTTTTACCCCCACTGGATAGTAACAAAGAGAACACCTTGACCCCTCTCCACTAGAATACTGTCAAAGGAGACCTAGAAGAGAGTCAGAAGGTTTACAATTACCTGGTTGTAATGAGGTCGCTTTCACCATAATGTCAATGGAGCCCACAAGAGGACCACCCTGCCTAGCAGTAACAAAGAACTCCCCTGCTCTGAATCCCTCCACAAATAAAACAGTATACGCTGGTTAAAATTAGAATGGAAGAAAGATACTTGATGAAAACACATCAAAAGAAAGCAAGAGTGACTATACTACTATCGGATAAAACAGACTTCAGAGCAAAGAGAATTATGAGACAGGGACGTTATATAATGGTAAAAAGTCCAATTTACCACAGCAATAAGAAACAGTCATCATAATTCTTTGAGCACCAAACTGTTGTTGAGCTGCAAAATATATAAAACCAAACCTGAGAGGACTGAAAGGAAGAAATGAACATCTTCACAATTATAATTGGAGACCTCAACACCCTTTTTCAACTACAACTAGGAATAAAGTTAGCAATTATTTGGAAGAGTTTAATAATACCATTAATCAACAGGATCTAACTGGCATTTATAGAACATTCTACCTGATAATAGTAGAAAACATGTTATTTTCAAATTCTCATGGAATAAATACCAAATATACCATTATCTTAGTCCTTGAACTTCAAAAAATTTTAAAACTTGAGGGAATCCTGGGTGACTCAGTCAGTTAAGCATCTGCTTTCAGCTCAGATCATGAATCCCAAGGTCCTGGGATTGAGTCCCACATCAGATTCCTTGTTCAGCGAGGAGCCTGCTTCGCCCTCTCCCTCTGCCTGCATCTCCCCCTGCTCATGCTCTTTCTCCTTTTCTCTCTCTCCAGCAAATAAATAAATAAATCTTAAAAAAATTTAAGACTTGAAATCCTACAGCATGTGCTCTCTGACCACAATGGAATCAAAGTAGAAATAAATAACAGAAAAATAAGAAGAAAACTTGAAACACTTGAAAATTAAATCACACCCTTTTAAATAATCCATGAATCAAAATTTTAAAGAAAATTTTTAAAATGCCTTGAATTAAATGAAAATCAAATTTTGTGGGTTACAGACAAAGCAGTCCTAAGAGGAAAATTTGTAGCACTAAAATTTTACATTAGAAGAGAAAAAGTCTAGGGGTGCCTGGGTGGCTCAGTGGGTTAAAGCCTCTGCCTTTGGCTCAGGTCATGATCCCAGGGTACTGGGATCAAACCCCGCATCAGGCTCTCTGCTCAGCAGACTCTCTGTCAAGAAAATAAAGCATCTACCTAAAAAAAACAAAAAATCCAAAAAAACATTAAAAAAGAAGAGCAAAACAAGGCTGATGAAAACTGAAAAAAAAAATTTAAAAATGAATGTAAGAGAATAAATAAAGTGAAAACAGGAAAATGACAGAGAAAATCAATTAAACTATAAGCTAGTTCTTTGTAAAGTCTAATCAAATTAACAGATCTCCAGCAACAATGGCAAAGAGTAAAACAGAGATTACACACAATGAAATGTTATGGGATATTACTGCAGACACTGTTGACTTAAAAGGATAAAAGGGGTATACTCCAAGTAACTTTCCTTACATAATGTGACAGTTTCCACAAAATGGACCAATCCCTCAAAGAAAACCAATAACCACAACTCACCTGATATGAAATAGACTGAATATCCCTATGACTACTAAGAAAATTGAACTTGTAATTTTAAAACTCCCAGGAAAGAAATTTCAATGACAGGCAGATTTACTGGAAAACTCCACAAACATCTAAAGACAAATTAACAGCAATTTTATAATCTCTTTGTAGAAAATAGAAAAAAAGAAAAGGAACATTTTCTTTCTTTTTTTTTTTAAGGAACAATTTCCTATTCATTTCATATTAGTGTCACAAAAAATCCTTAAAATATTAGCTAATAAAATGGAGAAAAAAAAATATTATACCCCATGGCCAAGTATCCTAGGATAGCAGTCTAGTTCAGTATTTGAAAATCAATCAATACAATCCATCATATTAACAAGCTAAGGAAGAAAAATTGCATCATCCTATCATCCAATCCAGGAAGTAAAAAAGACAAATTTTAACAACGATTCATAATAAAAGCTCTCAGAAAAGTAGAAATGGAAGGGGAAATTCCTCAGTTGATTAAAAAAAGAAAAACAGCTATCATTATACTATGGTGAAAGATAATGTTTTCTTCCTAAAATTGGGAACAAAGCAAGGATGTCTGCTCTCATCGTTTTTATTCAGCACAGCGCTGGGAGTTCTAACAAGTATAAAAAAGGCATAAAATGGAAACAAAAAACAGAAAAACAGAAAAGGAAGAAATAAAACTGACCTATTTGCAGATGACATGATTTGTCACATTAAAATCTTACGGAACCTAAAATTTACTCCATATTGAATACTGTATTTTTATCTTATTGGTCTTATTATAATAGGTTTCATGAGAACATGATATGAAAATGCCAACAAAAGACAAGTTACTTCAAAGTTTTCATTTATTTTCACTGTTTGATTCCTAGCAAAGTCAATCCTATTTAGATAGGATATGTAGTGTTACAATGCTTTGAGGTTAAAAGAAGAGATTATTTAGATCCCTCCACTGTTGAATGCCAGGGTTGAGTTCCTGGGCCTAAAACTAGGCAGTGACCCACAGAAAGTGTAAGAAAAAGAAGGATGGATGGTTGGACACATTCAGAACAACTTTTTAAAGGCCACCCAATGAGAAATGTATGGAAAGTGTAGACTGTGAAATTTGAGCATCTCTTGGAATTCAGCTTGTATATGATCAGCTATAAACTTTACCTAATAATTGATTATCTTGGCATACCCTTTGAGATTCTGTTCAGAACATGCAAAGTTATAAAAATAAAACTTTAAGAAATATCGAGATGGGGGTTAAATTTTACTGCTTCTCATACTTTCATTCCAAAGAAAACTTTCATCCCATAGCTTCAAACTTTAATACTCTGACTTAACTTCTTTTCTTTTGACTGAAGTCATGATGTACTCTTAACTTACATGCCTAGGAGTGGAACTTGCTTTCTTTCTTTCAACTAACATTATGCTGGGCCAAAGATATTCTGTATAAATAAAACAAGTTTCTGCTTATAATATGTAAAAATGTTTTATACAAAAGTTTTCTGCCCAAGTCTAGATTGTCCGTTTTTCTCTTATTGCACATTTGCATCCAGAGAGCAACTTAGATCTTTGGTGTGATTTGAATATATTTAGAAATCACATTTATAAATCCTCAATGTGATTTCTATGACTACTGATTGAGTGTAAGTCCAAGCTGGGGAACAAAATTATTTAGTATACTACCTCAATTACCCAAGGCAAATTAAAAAAAAAAAAAATGTTTGTTTTAGATAATGCTCAAAGCAATAGGGAAATGATTACTTATTAATCGAAGTCCCCTTGGAGTCTCAAATATTATCTTCATTAAAGAGATATCATACACACACAAAAAAACAAAAACAAAACCAAAAAGATATCATACATACATATATATGTACATTTATATAAGGTGAGATAGAGAACGAGTAAGAGAAAGAGAGAGAGAACACCAAAAACCATTCTGAATGTAAAATTTATTTTGAATGTAAATCATCTTTGTGAAATTTTGGTAAAGAGTACATGGAAATTCCCTCCTACTTCATTTTCAAATTTTAAGTTGAAAGTTATTTATTAATTCTTAAAAAGTGATATTTTGAAAATAAAAATTTCATGAAACTTCTCCCAAATTAAGACTTATTCAGGGACAGGTAACAGTAGGAATCACTACTGGTGTATAGATAAACAGAATAATGTTTATGTTGTTAATGCTTATTTACATTTAAAGACAGTTTCATGAAGATTAAATTTTCAGGCATTTTACTAGTAGGGACAGTCTTTCCTACAGATTACCAAAAAACAATAGAATTATTAGCAGAGTAGAAATGTCATGCTTAAGATACATATAACAAGCTGGGGGAACAAAGATAGTGTTGAAATGGCATTTCATCCTTTCTATCCATCCAAGAATAGAGAATACATGAATCACTTTGACATAACATCGAGTCTTTTTGTCTTCTGCAGTGACTTCCTCATGTGTGTATAAGTAATGCTATTTTTGTAGGGAGAAAATGGATATTCCAATAAATAAATATAGGGTTATAAAATGCATAATGCATAACTGACACTGATTTAAAGAAACTAGGTATCTGTAACATCCATTCTGAAAATGGGAAAGCTCACTTCCTAAACCAATTCAGGAAAATTCAAACAAATGAAAATAATGATCAGTTCTAATGGGCTTGTCCATCTTAAAATTCAGATATAAGCCAAATAAGGAAAACTGAAATTTAAGGGTTGGGATTTTTATTAATTCTGATTTTTAAGGAAAATTTGTGAACTAGTAAACAAATGACCTCTGATTATGTTTCCGCAACCTGAACATAGGTCACCAATTTTGTTTTTGGATTTTGGAGAGTGGTAAGAAATGAAGGAAATGCTTCCAATTTGCTTTCGTTGGCTTAGTTTTTACCACAACTCCTTACTGTATTCAGAAAATTAAGATCATTAAATGCCAAGAAGTTCAAAAGATACTAGAATTAAATGAATTATCAGAATTAAATACTTTCCACAGAACAGTTACTCTATTACATAAGGTTTAGACTCTGAATGGAAGAGGTAGAAGTACAAACTGAAATCTGCAAGTAAGAATCATTTTAATAATGTTTCAGTGTCTTACATAACAATTGAGTTTTGGGGATTTTAATTTAATTTTTAACAATTTTCCTGGTTTTCTAAAATTTATCTTACCATCA